CAGCATGTCAGGATGCTGTGCTAGAAGGATGTCTTGACATTGCACACTGTGTGTAACGGCGCACGGTGTCATGACGTCCTCGGCATGGGGTTGAGGCGCCCAGCATGTGGCTGCCCCTCCCCATCCCTGCCTCCAGGCCAGCCCTTTGGGCCGGTCTGTAGAGGCCCTGAATCTCAAGTCCTTGCAAGTATTTTCAAGTCAGGTCCTAGGCTGAGTCTCAAGTCTGGAAGCCAACTTTAATGGAGGCGGGGGGAGTCATTTCTCCGATTGGAACAGCAAATGTATTAGGCTTAAGGCTTAAGGTGAGGCCTGAGGTCTGCTTAGCAGCCTGTCCCTGCTGCACATTGGAGAAGTCTGTTCTTCTCTGAGAAATATGTTGTGGCTTCTGGGACAGGTCTTGCCTGCTGCTCAAAGTGAATGATGCCAGCAAGTCAGTTGCTAAAAATATACAAGTACCAGTTATGTCAACTAAGGGCCAATGCAGAAGACCCCTAAGGGGCAGTTCTGTGTAACCCCTGGGAGCGCTAGATCGGGGCCGTGCCAACCAAACACCATGACCCTGATCCTCCTTTTTGTTGCTCCAAAAAGAGCTGGCAAATGCCACTCCTTTTTGGAGTGGCAAAAAGCTGCCCTTAGAGCCACCACCTGGCACTTTTGTGCCCCTTTGGCATAGCATGTGTGCACTCTGTGCCAATGGGGTATCCTGATGCCATGCACCATGTGGCCGGGTGCACGGCGTGATGGCGGCGTCGGAGCAGAGTCGGGGTGGCCAGCATGCAGTCGCCCCACCCTGACTCCACCCGCAGGCTGGCCCTTTAGGCCGGTCTGTATCGGTCCTAATTGCAGCATTTATTACCAAGTCCAAGTCAAATCACTGAAGTGACTTGTGTCCAAGTCAATTGACCTGAGTTTACATCATTGGCATAATTCAAGGGTACATTTATTAAACTCTATCTGGAAACAACAGACATGTAATTAAAAGTGTGCATGTGTGTATGTCTATGATATAGCTGACTTTCTAATGTTTGGGGCTTAAATTGGGGCAAGTATATGTTCATATGGTCTGGGTCCAATATTAATATTCCTATGCTTGTTCAACCATGCCATTTTAGGAGGAACTTTAAGACTCCTAAAATTGAAGTTGCAGATTTCAGGAGCAAAGAGCAAAGAAAAACACTGCATGTTAAAATCTTGCAGTTGTTCTATAATCTCCATTTTATTAGCTCTGAGAATCTCCATTTAAAAAAAAAACATTTTCCTATATAGAAAATTTGATAAGTTTTAAAGAACTCCCTCTTTTGTTCAATGTTTCCAATAATACAGTTATATAAAATTATGGTAATTATGAAAGTATGCTGATAAAAGTTTTCTTTTTTCTTTTAAAAGTATGTACTCTAAAATCCACATCTCAAGTAACTGTTGATGGATAAATTGTTGAAAGATTTTATTGAAAGAGCCATTTGTGCTTTGAAATATTAAACTTTGTTTGGCTTTTGTTGCATATGTGTTTAACTGATAAATTAAATTTGTTATGAAGCAAAAATTCCAGCTCACAAATACAAGTCTTTTGAAATTAGGTCCTTTGAGGATTGTTGTTGGAGATGATGTGGCTAAAAAGTTATTCCTACTGCTAGTTGTTATTCATATTTGTTGTTTTTGTTGTGTGCCACCAAGAAGATTTTGATTTATATTAACCCTATGAATGAGAGAGCTCATAGACACCCTGTCATTATCCCTGTTATTCATACAGAACTGCAATAACTTTTAAAAGTTTAAGAAATCTTTCAGGCTGTTTAAATGACAAGATCAATTTACTATATATATAAAATCCAAGAAGTTTAAGGGCATGTTCTATTCTCTGGACGGTGTATTTTGCATGCACCAAGGATATGCTGCAACATTTTACTGGGGGGCCTCACTTCTCACACTGAATAGAAGATGCTAGGAAACAATAGGGAATGACCACTGCCCTGCTTGTGAACTTTCAGAGCCATATGGCTGGACAGTCTTGAAAACCAGAAAATTCATTTCACAGCCAACGCCTTTCACAACATGAGAAAATAAGAGTACTTCATCTATTCTTATTTTCTCGTGTTATGAAAGGTGTTCGCTCTGAGATGAGCCCAGAAACTGATGTACTATGAATCGGCTCTGATATGCATATGTGTGTGTGTGTGTGTGTGTGTGTGTGTGTGTGTGTGTAGTCACATGAGTAGACAAATACTGAAAAAACTTGGTCATGTAAGGTGTTTGAGATACAAAGGGCCTTTGCAGACTGCCAGAAATAGTGCAAATTAAGTCCACTTTAAGGGTTAGGGTTAGTGCTAGGGAATCATGGGAATTGTGTGGTTTTTTTCTGCGACATTGAGCCTTCTCTGTCAGAGAGCTCTGGTGCCACAATAAAATACAGTTCCCATGATTCCCTAACCCTAACCCTTAAAATGGACTCAATTTGCACTATTTCTGGCAGTCTGCAAAGGCCCAAAGTTTATAGATGCTGAAATTTGTTCACCACATTTCCCATTACATCTTAATTTTCAGGGTCCCCCCCTCCCCGATTTACATTTAAATAGAAAGTACTGTTTAATTGAGCATAGTAGTGCTACTTCACAATAGAGCTAAATTTTTATGGGTGAAAAAAAAATCTGCTTCATTGTTTTGAATTCTCTGAGTCATACCCCTAATATTCTGGTGCTTGCTAGTCCTCTCCTTTGTGTGTTCTGAAGTGAATGCTGATGACCAAGCACAAAATACTGCCTAACATGCAGTGGAACAGACACTGTTTTGACTTGATAATAAAACAGAGCTGAAATTAATGTGGGAGGAAATAATCTCAAATGCATCCAACCTGATATTGTTTGGACAGTTCTGTATTTAATCGATAAATAATCCCCCCCCCCTCCAGCATTTCCAGCTATAGAGGCTGGAGGATTTATTGGCTTCATTTTTTAATCATGCCTTAAACTTCACTATCAAAGTTTGTGTCTGGGTTTTTGTGAGAGAGAGAGTGCGTATATTTCATACTATCCTTTCTAATGTAATATCCTTTATAGCTTCAGATATAGAATGCGCAAATATTTGAAACTCAAAACATTGCATTGATGTCTGAACTGCTGCCAGCTGTGGAATTTGTCAAATAAAGGGTATTATATTATTTCAGTTTTACATCACTGTTATTATTTCCATCAGTCTCTTCACTGTCTGAAATTCACTGAGGTGATTAATAGGGGCCCAAATGATTTGTTAAATGAAGTGAAGCCTTTCCCCTCATATCCTCCTTGATCCTGATGAATTTCCTTTCATTTCACCTCCTTTCAGTTGTACAGAAGGAAAGAAAGAAAGAAAGAAAGAAAGAAAGAAAGAAAGAAAGAAAGAAAGAAATCGTGGCTGAGTTTCTCTGTTGTCTTTAGGGTGCCACAACTCTTGGGTTGTTTTGAGGCAACAGGTGACACACAAGTATCCCTTTGAATACAGATTGAGCAGACATCCTCCTTTTCCAGGACATGTCCTACATTTCAGCCATCTGTCCAAGAGGAATTCCAAAATGTCTTCCACTTGGAGCACGACTATGAGAAGCATCCATTTCTATTTCGATTCGTATTCTTAGCTTTTATATGTGGTAATGTTGCACATTTTTCTTGAATGTCCTACATTTTTCAGGGCCTTGTTCTCCTTTGCAGTGAGGACATCTGGTCATCCAAAATGACCAGTCATCCTGTTGGAAAACAGGTCATCTTGTTGGAAAAAAGTGTCATTTGAGAGAAAAAACTTTTAACCAAGAATGGTCTTGGAGGAGAAAACGAGAGACGTGTGGGTCTGAGCTTTGGTGCCGTGCAGGGGGTTATTTACGTGTTTTGTTTTGCAACACAACTATGCAAATAATTTCACTCACGCATTCCTAATTTGTTGTTCACATTATTATTTTATCAGTACTGCATCTGTAAACATCTTTGCACATTTCTGCAAGTTCTTTTACCCACACAGGTCAGCACTGCAGATAAAGATGGGACATTATCACACGTGGCCCAGAAAATGAAAATAAAGTGGAAATGAG